TGCTATCATTGTGGCATGAAAGGGCACACAAAGAAGTTCTGCAGGAAGTTGAAGAGGGAGAACCAAAACAAAGAGGAAACTAAAGAAGATGGCAATAAAAATTGCTTAGCCACCGTCACCACCGAAGATCTTGTTACCGTTCTTGATGCAAACATGATAAATATTGCTTGTGATGAGTCAAGCTGGGTTGTGGACACTGGTGCTGCATCTCATGTGACATCAAGAATGGATTTTTTCTCTTCCTACACTCCTGGTGATTTTGGAACCTTGAGTATGGGTAATGAGACTGTTTCTAGGGTGGTTGGTATTGGTACAATTTTTTTGGAAACTAGTGTTGGAACTAAACTAGTTTTGAACAATGTGAAACATGCTCCTGATGTTCGTCTACACCTAATTTCTGTTGGTGTTTTAGATGATGAAGGATATGTTAGTACCAACGGTGATGGAAAATGGAAGCTCATTAAGGGTTCCTTGGTTGTGGCTCGTGGTAACAAACGTCGTGGTCTATACTGGACTACGGCCTCTTCTTGTGTTGATATGGTGAATGCGGTTGAGAGCGATAGCTCTTCAACATTATGGCACAAGAGGCTTAGCTACATTAGCGAGAAAGGACTTAATGTTCTAGCCAAGAAGAAATTATTGTCAAATTTCCAAAGTGCTAAATTAGAAAAATGTGAGCACTGCTTGGCTGGTAAACAAAATAGAGTTTCCTTTAAGTCCTACCCTCCTTCAAGAAAGACAGAGTTGCTTGAGTTAGTTCACTCTGATTTATGTGGTCCAATGAAGACAAAGACATTGGGTGGTGCACTTTACTTTGTCACTTTCATTGATGATTGCTCGAGAAAACTTTGGGTCTATGTCTTGAACACTAAAGACCAAGTGTTAGGTGTCTTTAAGCAGTTTCAGGCTTCAGTTGAAAGAGAAACTGGAAAGAAATTGAAATGTATTCGTACTGATAATGGTGGTGAATATTTGGACCATTTGACGAATACTGCAAGCATCAAGGTATTAGACACCAGAAGACTCCTCCCAAGACTCCTCAGCTTAATGGTTTGGCTGAGAGGATGAACAGGACCTTGATGGAAAGAGTTAGATGTTTGCTTTCTGAAGCAAAGTTGCCAAACTCATTTTGGGGTGAGGCTTTATTGACCGCTGCACATGTTATTAATCTTTCTCCTGTTGTTGCTTTGCAAAGTGATGTACCAAATAGTGTTTGGTATGGAAATGATGTTTCCTATGACCATTTGAGAGTATTTGGTTGCAAAGCTTTTGTACATGTGCCGAAAGATGAGAGGTCAAAATTAGATGCCAAGACAAGGCAAAGCATCTTCATTGGATATGGCCTAGATGAATTTGTATACAGGCTATATGATCCAATTGAAAAGAAACTTGTGAGAAGCCGTGATATTATTTTCATGGAGAATCAAACAATTGAAGATATTGACAAAGCGGAGAAGGTAGAATCTTCAAATTTTGATGGTATAGTCCATCATGATGAAGTTCCTCACACAAGTGTGCATGATGTTATTGGGTTTGATAATCATGGTGACGCCCAGAATCATGTATCAAATCAACATGTTAATGTTGATAATAACAATGATATTGTTATTGATGATCCTGTTGCTCATGAAGTTGTGGATGAATCAAATATTCCGCTTCGGAGGTCCACAAGACAACGGTTTCCTTCCTCCCGTTATTCATCCAATGAGTATGTGTTACTCACTGACGGGGGAGAACCTGAATGTTATGAGGAGGTCATGGAAGATGAGCACAAGAATCAATGGATTGAAGCCATGCAAGACGAGATGAAGTCTTTGCATGAGAACCACACTTATGAGTTGGTAAAATTGCCCAAGGGCATGAGAGCTTTGAAGAACAAGTGGGTGTTCAAAGTTAAAGTTGAAGAACACAACTTGAAGCCCAGGTACAAAGCTAGATTGGTTGTTAAGGGATTCGGTCAAAGGAAATGTATTGACTTTGACGAAATATTTTCTCCTGTTGTGAAAATGTCCTCGATTCGCACAGTTCTAGGTTTGGCTGCTAATCTTAATTTAGAGATTGAGCAGATGGATGTGAAGACGGCTTTCCTTCACGGTGACCTAGAAGAAGAGATTTATATGGAACAACCTGAGGGCTTCAAAGTAGATGGTAAAGAAAATTTTGTATGCAAACTCAAAAAGAGTCTCTATGGCCTAAAACAAGCTCCTAGACAATGGTACAAAAAGTTTGAATATGTTATGGGGGAGCAAGGCTATAAGAAGACTTCTTCAGATCATTGCGTATTTGTACAAAAATTTTCTGAGAAAGATTTTATCATCCTTTTGTTGTATGTGGATGACATGTTGATTGTGGGCAAAAATACTTCCAAGATTAACGAGCTAAAGAAAGAGTTGTGTAAGTCTTTTTCTATGAAAGACTTGGGTCATGCCAAGCAAATTTTGGGCATGAGAATTACTCGTCTTAGAGATAAAAGGAAGATTTATTTGTCCCAGAAGAAGTACATTGAACGCGTACTGGAACGCTTCAATATGAAGAATGCTAAGCCTGTTAGTATACCTCTTGATGGTCATATGAAGTTGAGCAAGAAGATGTGTCCTACAGCTAGGGAGGAAAAAGAGAATATGGCCAAAGTTCCATATTCCTCCGTCGTCGAAAGTCTAATGTATGCAATGGTGTGCACTAGACCTGATATTGCTCACGCAGTTGGTTTGTCAGTAGATTTCTCGAAAATCCGGGAAAAGAGCATTGGGAAGCTGTGAAATGAATACTCAGGTATCTTAGAGGAAGCTCAGATGAATGCTTGTGTTTTGGAGCATCAAATCCAATCTTGAAAGGCTATACAGATTCTGATATGGCAGGTGACCTTGATAACAGAAAATCCACTACTGGATATTTGTTTACTTTTTCAGGGGGAGCTATATCATGGCAGTCAAAGTTGCAGAAGTGTGTTGCACTATCTACAACTGAAGCTGAGTATATTGCGGCTACTGAAGCCGGCAAGGAGATGATATGGCTAAAGCAATTTCTTCAAGAGCTTGGTTTGAATCAGATGGAGTATATTGTCTATTGTGACAGTCAGAGTGCAATAGACTTGAGCAAGAACTCCATGTACCATGCAAGAACAAAACACATTGACGTCAGATATCATTAGATTCGTGAGAAAGTGGAGAATGAATCATTTCACGTCAAAAAAATTCACACAAGTGAAAATCGTGCAGATATGCTGACAAAGATGATACCAAAAGACAAGTTCGAGTCATGCAAAGAACTTGTGGGTATGAGCTCTCTCTAAAGAAGTTGAAGATACCTTGTTCCAGTAAATGGGACTGGAGGGGGAGATTTGTTGAATCCATCCCATTGTTTTAGTCAACTTTAGTTATTCAATTGGTACAAACAATTGTTAAAAAGGAATAGTAATTGGAGTTGAAAAGAAAAGATTTGGTAGTTGGCAAATTGGTAAGATTTGCAACCATTTTTGACTTTGCTATGTTTACATATGTCATTAGTGACATAGGTATGGTTTTATCCTTCTATAAATAGAGCATTCTTGCTCATTTGTAGAACACACCAAGTTAGAGAAAAAAAAACCATTTTGAGAGCAAAGTGAGGTATTCCATAGACTATACAAGAAAATAGTCTGTGAAGAAAAATAGAGTGTGAGCGATATTTTTGTAAGACGGAAACCAAAAGAGTGTTGTTCCTTTTGAGTGTGTAGTAGTCACTTTGAGTGTTGTATTCGTGACTACACAGTGTAAAATTCCTTACTATAGTAATATCAGTTGCTCCTCTTGGCCCGTGGTTTTTTCCCTTATTCAGAAGGGTTTCCACGTAAAATTCTTGGTGTCGTTATTTTCTCATTTTATTTCCATTACTTTTACCATATATATTTTTGTGCTTTTCGCGTTTTTCCAACAAACTGGTATCAGAGCCCAGGTTATCAACAAGTCTCAGCCCACCGGGAGGAACTGGGTTGTCGTTCTCTCTAGCCCAAGGCCCGATGTGTGAAGGGGGAGATTGTTGGGTTATCCCACATCGGAAGTGGAAGGGGCTGGTGGTCAATCTATAAGTGTGAGGGAAAGCCTCAACCTTTGAGCTAGCTTTTGGGTTGAGAAGGCCCAAGACCACCCAACATAGAGAACATATAATCTTTCATAAAGTTCACAACCCTCCGGCAAAGTGACAACCCTTTAGGAGAGTTACAATCCTTCATTTGTTGGGAAAGACAAGGCACTAACAAAGAATGTCTGACAGGATAACAGCGGAAGAATACCCAAGTCTATACTTTCCCTTCTCGATTTGAACCAAGAAAAGACAAACAACCACAAGCAATATGATAGTAAGGCAGCAAGTAATTCAACCAAACAAATATAACAAGACAATAATAAACCAATCACACAAGACACCAATTTCGCAGCTACTGTTTACGACAGCAAAACTGAAGTTGCAGGCCACCAAATCCAACTCTGTCAGTTCCTAATCAAAGATTGAGATGAAAATAATATGCTGTCCAAAAATCAGCTCAATCGGACAAGAAACGAAGCGGGAATCGCAATTTGAAGTTGGCTGTTAGGGCTGAATTTTGACTGCGAAAATTGCTCTCTTTCTCTCTTTTTGGTTGCTAAAAAAACTCTCTGTGTATATGAAAATAAGACCTAAATAGGCTTATATTTGCCTCATAATAATGGGCCTATGGGCAAAAATGAATTGGTCCAAATTGGACTTTTATTTATCCACATAGGAAGCAAAAAAAACCATAACCCAACATCATTTTCTGTTCACACCTTTAAAACTCAACAAATGTCTCAATTGTTTAAACTCCCAAACACCACAAGGAAGTTCAATGATGCTATTACCAATATCTAGGGTCTCTAGACGTTTGAGCTTCACCGTGCAATTTGACAGTTCACGTAAATCTTCCCCTCGAATAGCAGATAGCGTAAGTAACTCATGTTCCCGATTTTGAAGTTAGGATGAGTCATTTGAGAAAAAATGCAACTCTCTTTTGTGAAACAGAAAGGGTAAACATACATAAGACAATAAATGGTTGTATTTTAAAAATTAGTAGCGACAAATACATCAACTTGAAAAAGCAAAAATCAAACATTTAATTTAATGTTATTTATTGCAAATTCAAACAGTCATGGTCTCCAGCAAAGACTTGAATCATTCTGAAATGCATCTGCAATTTATTAGACATAAAATGATTTAGTTCATTAATTAAAAAAATTAGCTTATTGAGAGAAAATTGTAAATAATTAAGGTAGCAAACTAACCTGTTGATGCATTGAGATTTTCATACTCTCAGCTTTGTAAGACGTTCCGAGAGCCTAATGTTGAACTTGGTATGTTTCAGTAATAACTTTTTCAATTTAGGCATACTCACATCATCTGTGCACTCTACTTCAGATAACCCGAATGGTTTTTGAATATGCAGAACTTCAAGTTGCAGAAAGCTATCATTATCACCAGAGAGATCCATCTTTTCTTCCTTATGTTGGCAGTAAATCATTTTAAGTATTCTTAATTTGGGCAATTTCTTAAGCAATGCTACTAAATGACCTTCTACCTCAATGCAGCTAAGAGTAAGCTTGACAAGATTTGGAGGGAACGTTTCAGAGTTCAAATGCTCGCTTCCATTCAAATGCAACTTAACAATATTTGGAAAGGGTGACAAGTTTATTTGCTCACTCGATTGATACAAAAATATGAGCTTCAGAGCCTCCAACTCTTTTGGCAACGTTGATAATATCTGAATGGTAGAATCAGATACTCTCCATATACCCAGTTTTCTTAAGTTGATCAACCGGTGAAATAATCTCGGTTCAACAAACTTATCATCCACACACATCAAAGTTTGTAGATTAGTAGGAGGCAATGAGCAAATGTTTCGGCTTATAGAAAAGCAACAGTTAGATTCTTGTAAATTACCTTTACAACGAAGATGTCTCAATTGTGTAGACTCCCAAACACCAGTAGGAAGTATTGCCCAGCTATTTTCAATATTTAGGGTCTGCATATGTTTGACCATACTATTTGGCAGTTCCCCATACATATGCCCCTCCAATTGCAGATAGCGTAAGCAACTCGTCTTCCCAAACGTTTTTGGGATTCCTATGTAACTTAAAAAATAATCATAAGCTATGACTACAACCAACACTTGCAATAATTTGAAGTCATGACGAGCCAGTTGAGAAAATAGGCAAGTATCATTTATAAAACAGAAAAGTGCACGAAGTTTCTTAGGCTTAGGATTTGAACGGAAGAAATCATTCATGGCATTAATATTAGAGTAGAATGTAATCCTTCGCACCCTAGAAACATTGCCGGGATCACCAAATGCATTGTGCTCGGTGTGAAAGAAGTTACTTTCCTTGCCCAACTCCACACACAAACTATGTAACAAGTCATGTATGCGACAAGTTGAAATTCTTCCATCATATCTCCTTTTGGCAACTTGGATCAAGTTTCTAGAAACCAAATCATTTAGGAAATCCTCCGCCTTACTTTCAGCCTCTCGCGTATTACCACTATTTACAACTATGAGCTTCTCAGCAATCCACATATTTATCAAATCAAAAGCACGAATTTCATAGTCCTCGGGGAAAAGGCCAAAGTACAAGAAACATGGCCTTAATGCAATAGGCAAATCATTGTAACTCAAAGCCAATACCTTAGCACATCCCTCTTGAATTTTATGAGTCATACTGTCAAGTACTCTGTTCCATGCATGTTCTGTTCTTCCTCTTGCCCTTAACATACCTGCAGTCACCACAATCGCTAGCGGTATACCTCCACATCTCTCAACTATACATCTACCAATATTTACCAAGTCTGGTGAAGTATTGGCCCAATTATCATCAACAAAATTACAGATTTTCTTGGTAAAGAGTTCAAAACTGTTCTCCGAATCTAGAGGTTGCAACACGTGGATTGAGAAATCCCCTCCTATGTATCTGCCTACATTACTATTTCGAGAGGTTATAATTATCCTACTGCCAATTTTTGAATCAGATTCAGGAAGGACGAGTTTTAGATCATCCCAAATTTCAACATCCCAAATGTCATCTAAAAGGATAACGTACCTTTTTATTTTCAAGAGTGATCTTAGGTTGTGTTCCAAGTTCTCTTTCCTTTCTTCTTCCGTCAGTCCAACTTGTTTGGCTATGTTAAGCAAGATTTCTCCCGCCCTTGGCTGCTGCGAGACATAGACCAATCCAGAACATTCAAATTGATGACGGACGTGCCTATAAAGTTTCTTGGCAAGAGTAGTTTTTCCCAAACCGGGCATGCCAACTATTGAAACAACTCCATAAGGCAAATCTTGAAGAAGCAATTTGTGTTGGAGCTTGTTGAAGTCATGATCCAAACCGATGACCTCTGTTTCATCATAAGCATGAAGGAATCGTCTTCTCCGGTCCATTGGAATGCAATCATCATTATTGTTACTTGTATCTGTGATGTTGTAAGTTGTCCTTACACGGTCAATATCAGCAACTCTTCTTTTTATCTTCTCAATCTCCATAGCAAACTTATTCGCAAAATAAACAGTCTTAAGGCAACAAATGAACTTATTGGATTGTTGAATTTTTGGAAGGAACTCATCTAATAGATCCTCCACATCACCTGCCAGTTGTTGAATATCTTCTAATAGGTTTTTGACCCTTGAATCACCTCCAACTTCCTTTGCCTTTGCATCGTCTACATATGATCGAATGTGTTTCATTTCTCTTTGGAGCCAATCGATGTCCTCCTTCAACCAATATAAACGCGTACCTTCTTGCACGAGTAGATTTGCAGCTATTTCAACAGATTTATTGATGACTGCTGTAAGAAGAATATCAGCCATCTCCTTTTTCCTTAATTTCCTTTTTTTTTTTTGTAAATGTAAGGATGAGGAAGGGAAAGTAAGAAAAAAATATGATCAATTTGCTTTAGTGTTGGAGTCAACGACCAAGTCTTGTAAACACATTTTTTCTTACTCATGTTAGCTGGTATTTCGTTTTCAAGCATCAATAACAAACATTGAAAGGCGTAAAATTCAATGGCAAAGATGAGTTCACACCTCAGCTTCTGGATTCTCCTTCATCCGATTAATTTTTCAAGAGATATTGTATGAGTTGCCGTATTCTGATTAGAGGTCTCGAATTCAATATTAATATTGGAGGAAAATTCTGATTATAAAGTTTTTTTCTTCTTACAAATCATAAGCTACCCACAAATAAATCAACTTTAAAAAGCAATCAATAGGGATTTAGTTGGTACACATTCTAAAGTTTAATTTGTTCAATATCATTAGCAAAGGTTGTGGCAGATGTTGAATGCCTTGAATCGGGCCCAAGCCTGTTAGGGCGTAGCTTAGCACTATATATAGACGCTATGGGAAACCCTATTCTGTAATTCTGTTTTTGCCTCTCCATAATAAAACTGCTCCCTCTCTTCCCGTGGACGTAGCCAATTTATTGGTGAACCACGTAAATCTGTTGTCTTGTTTTTGCGTTTATATTTTCTCGTATTATCTCAAATTCCGCACAACAGCAGATATTAGCAAAGTGTTTGGGATACTCATAATTCTCCATAAATCATCATTAGATATGACTACAACCAACACTTGCAATAATTTTTTGAAGTTAAGATGAGCCATATGAGAAAATATGCAAGAGTGTATATTTGTGAAACACAAAAGTGCACGAAGCTTCTTACGGTTACGATTCGAATGGAAGAACTCATTGATGACATTATTATCAGAGTAGAATGTCAGCAAACCTTTTGAAAAAATTAAGTGACAACGCAAACATCTTTAGTATATACCTATCATCAATCACACTATATTGAAAAAACATAAATCATTTTAAGTTTCCTAACGTCTTGCAAAACTTCACCCTTCATGGCTGTGAGTTTGGGCTCTCAAAATATTTTGAGTGCGTATTTGATTCTTCAATACGATTTTATTTAACTTTAATAGGTAGTGAGACATTACCATAATGACTCTAGTGGAATGGTCGGAATTTCTATGCTTTTCTAGTAAGGAGTGTTTTGCTCTAAGTTTATTAATTAGACTAATTTAAATTTCTATCACTTAATACTGATTTAAGAAAAAATTACTTTATACTCCATTCGTTTTAAAAAGAATGATTTAGTTTGACTTGAAACGGAATTTAAAAAAAAAAAAGACTGATTCTAAATTAAAATTATGTCAAATATACAAAAATCTCTTTTAATCTTTTGGTCTTAAACATGCCACGTGAAAAGTTAGAATTAAAATGTTATCAAAATAGAAAAAGGGATCATTATTTTTTAAACATGCTAAAAAAAAAATACGATCATTATTTTTTCAACGGATGAAATATCAATTTTTTTCATTTTCAGAGCTGATTTAGTTTTTTTGATTCATTATGTGTGATCTGCGAATCCTTGTGGTATTGATAACACAAGTTAAAACATCTGTAGGTTATTTCACATGGACTTACATCAAGGAAAAGAAAAAAAAAAGGATATAATTTGAGGAAATATAAAATATAAATAAAGTCTCGTATTAATTATTTTGTTCTTGCAAATGAATGAATAAACCAACAAAAAATTGACTAATTTTACAATCAAACTGCTTTTAAAATAAAGTGAAACACTATTTAGAAAAAATACAAATAATTCACGTAACATCCTAAAATAGCTTTCTCAACCTCGATAATTGCTCATTTATAAACTATTATGAGTTCACATAATGCATTGTACATTAATTCCAAAAATACCCTCTTCGAAAATCAAGGTACAACACCTCTAAGCATTAGAATTGTCCTCTAGTGCCTTACTATTTTGAGCTATTAAAACGCCGCAGATATTGTATACGAGTATTTTTTACACTCTGAAAAAGTCGAAAGGCAGTGTACTTATATATACCCTTTCTTAAACCCCACAGTCCACAGTAAGACCTAGCCGCTTCTCATTTTCTGGCCTCTTAAACCCTGAAAATTTGTCTTCATCAGGTTTGTTTTTTTAATAAGTTTTTTGAGATGGGATTATGCTTATTTTGCTATATTATGGTTATTTGCCCTGTTGTTTTGTTTTGGTTCTTGATTATTTAGTTTATATGGAGCTGGAGCTTTGTTAAGTGTTTGGGGTATGTTGGTTTTATGTTTGGGGTATGTTGTAGAACTCTTTTTTTTTTTTTATGTTTGGTGATAAAAATGAGTTTTTTTTAATAATGTTTGGTGATTAAAGTGAGTTTTTTGAGATGTGTTTATTCTTATTTGGTTATCCTATGGTTATTTGCCTTGTTGTCTTGTTATGGTTCTTGATTATTTAGTTTATATGGAGCTTTGTTAAGTGTTTGAGGTACATTTGTTTTATGTTTGGTTCATGTTATAGAACTCTTACTCATTGTTTTTTCATGTTTGGTGAAAAAAATGAGTTTTTTTTAATGTTTGGTGATAAAAATGAGTTTTTTTAGATGAGTTTATGCTTATTTGGCTATGCTATTGTTCTTTGCCTTATTGTTTTATTTTGGTTCTTGATTTTTTGTTAATATGGAACTTTGTTAAGTCTTTGGGGTCTTTTGGTTTTATGTTTGGTTCATGTTGTAGAACTTTTACTCATTGTTTTTTTATGTTTGATGGAAAAAATGAGTTTTTTGAGATGGGTTTATGCTTATTTGATTATATTATGGTTCTTTACCTTATTGTTTTGCTATGGTTTTTTATTTTAAGTTATTATGGAGCTTTGTTAAGTCTTTGGGGTATATTGGTTTTGTGTTTGGTTTATATTGTAGATCTTTTACTCATTGTTTTTTAATGTTTGGTGAAAAAAGATTTGTTTTTTGAGATGGGTTTATGTTTATTTGTTATATCATGGTTCTTTACCTAATTATTATGTTATGTTCCTTTTTTTGGGTTAATATGGAGCTTTGTTAAGTCTTTGGTGTATCTTGGTTTTATGTGTGGTTTCATATTGTAGAACTTTTACTCATTGTTTTTTCATGTTTGGTTAAAGAAAATCACTCTTTACCCTGTTCAAGTCTGATACTGTATTCTTCGTAGAACTTTTATGGGTTTTTTATGTTTGGTGGAAAATATTGTTCTTTGTTCTATTCAAAGTGAGATGATGCTTTGGCCTTCTTATTAGTTTGATATCTTTTGTTATTAGTAGTGTTTCTTTTTCTTGTATGTATGTAGTGTATTTCTCTAATTTGTGTAATTGAGTTAAACGAGTTTGATGATTGTTCTGTTTTGAAATAAATATACTGGAATGTTGCTCTCACTTGTTATTTGCTTCAGAAAATTAACTGACTACTGTTGAATGATTAGCTAGTTGGCAGGGCAAAGCCACAATGCATCTCATGGGTTTGGGAAAACAGACTCTTTATTCGTGTTGAAAATTTCACTCAAGATGTATGAATAGTCTATCCAGAACCAAATAAACTACTTTTTAAAGAAAAATTATAACTCATAAGCTCAAAATCGTAGCTTTGCCTCTGTGAAGATGGTTTGAACCTAAGATATAATATTAGGCCAGAAATTTAATTTTTGTGTACTGTATCTAAACATGTGTTCTAATATCTAGTAACAAATCCCATGGGGGTGCAAGAGTGAAGGGAAAGGGGAGACCTAGAGAGCTAATAGATTTCACCGCATATGTGGTTTCAGAAATCTAGTTTGTGGATGTATGCCACTGTGTTTTTTTTAGTATGCATTTAAATGAATGAGTTTTGCATCGTTTAGTTGTCATTTGTATAGGTTTTCTGCTTTGTCAATCTACTTATTGATGTTGCCTGTCAGATTAAAGGTTTCCATACTTTAAAATTCTAAATTTGTATAACCTTCTTTTCATTCTTTTTATAGATATCAATGGCTTTCTACAACAAACTTGGTGGTCTTTTGAGGCAGAGCATCTCAACAAGTGGCAATACATTAAACGCACAATCATCAGCACCTTCAATGCTTAATGCCATCCGTTGCATGTCAACAAAGCTTTTTGTTGGAGGTATGTGAGTAGCAGTCTGAAAAAAATATCACAAGTATTGTTTCTTAGTGAATACCCTGCGACAGTTTGCTTATTTATTCCTCAATTTAATAGGTCTTTCATTTGGAACTGACGATCAGTCTCTGAGGGAAGCCTTCACCAGTTTTGGTGTTGTCGTCGAGGGTAATCTCCCAACTATCCCGAGTCTGGCTTGCTTTAGTTTCCATCTTGTTTTTATTCTCCGATTATGAGTATTTGAATGAACAACACAACGAAAATCAAGTTAGATGAAAATGCTATCTTTTATGAAGGATCATACACAGTACAATATGTATCTGATAATAGCTTCCGATGTATATATAATTTAAACCTATACATGGCATGGTGGATGCATAAATTTGTCTGTTGTCTTGTGTTCCTCTTGCTTACTAGGCTATGAAACTTGATAGATTTTCTGCAGCTCGTGATTTGTTTCATGACCTTAAGTGTTCATATAGTGAGTGCTCCACGCGTTTTTGTCATAAATTGCATACTCTAGTGATTGGGCTGGGATATTGGCATTTTTCTGATGGTTTCTAAGTTTGTTCTATCGTTAAGGCATTATCAGCTACTATCTTCATCTCCCTCGTTTAGTTTGTGGGTGCTAGGATTAGTTTAACATCGGAGTTGAACCAATACTTATGGTTTTTTTGACATGGTCCTCCCTTTCATCTCGCTTGCTAGCTCTTACTTTCTGCTGTTTGAACTTTGTTCGTGTGTTAAATATTCGTGTACTTTGATTGTGGCACAGCTAAGGTCATCATGGATAGAGATTCTGGGAAATCAAAGGGATTTGGATTCGTGAACTTCACAGAAGGTCAATCTGCCCAAGATGCTATGTCAGCAATGGATGGACAGGTAAAATTTTGTTAGTAATACATGAAACCTTTAGTTTATGCCTTTGTATAGTTTAAGGGACTATTTGGTTACAATGATTTGGATTAAATTTTGTACCATATTCGGTTGTGGATATTAGTTGAAACTCAACGACATAGTGTAGTTTTACAAAGTGGGGTCCGGGAAGGATAGAACGTATGCCTCTCAGAAGTAAAGAGGCTGGTTATTCATGAATCATGGCTGATATCACATTATGCTCCCTGTAGGATCTCAACGGGAGGAACATC